GCGGGAGAGGGGTTCTTGAGTGTTAGAGAATATGAGAAAAAAAACGCTATTAAGAAGAGAGAACACTAAAAGAACAGGAATTAATAAAATGGAAGATAACAATTGACATTTTATTTACATTTTTGAAGATCAAAGTTGACAGGGAAGGGAGAAGCCGTAAGTTCCACAAGTAAGAAGTGCGAGAGAAGAAACTGTTAGGATAGAATTTACGGTTGTATTTAGACATTTCAGCTGTAAAACGAAAGAGAACCTTTCTGCTAATCTACTAGTTATCATGAAATTATGTGCAGAAAGAAGCTACGGCGGTGGAGAAGTGACTGAAGCCGAGATGCCAAGTTATGACCAATAACATTGCAGATTCTTCTTTGTATTTTATCTTTAAATATATAGGAGGATCACCCGACCATTTATAATTGTTCTAGAGTATTTTCACTATATCATTATAATCTATCTAATAAGCTGACCTGCCAACTTTTGTTATTTCAGATTCAAGGAGTCGGTTGTAGCAGCTCTTTGAACACAGCCTACTAAAATCTTCTTGTCATAGTTAACTAGTTTGCAGAATGCAGTCGGGGCGTGAACGCAATTTGGAAGCTCGCTATGCAATAAACATTTGAGCTGACATAAATAGGCATGAAAATTGTCCTTCATCCTCTCTGCAGGCCACACCTTGTTCCCTGTACCTTTGGGCGGTTCCCCAAACTAAAGGAGAACGTCAGGGGGCAGTTGCTTTGAAGAGGCTGAGAAGATGAAGGAGGCTGCGGCAAGGGTCCTGGATGCCTACATTTTGAATCATTTTTATGAGGTTTTCCCGAAGTGGCTGGAGCGCTATAACAAGTGCATTGATGTTAGAGAGCATCTTATTTCGAAGAAGATTAGAGTTTGTTTTAATCAATTCTCCCCTCAAGCAAGGTGATAATACTACTATGACGCAAGGTGCTTTAGAGTAAAATAGAATGGGGGAGACTTTAGAACAAATCTGAAAGCAAACCCTAAGCAGGAAACAAGGAACAAACCTCTGCTCGTGTTCAAAAAAACCGGATAGGAGTGTGAACCGGACAATAGGCAAGTTTATCTACTTCTATTAAGTATTAAGAAAGATTCAAATTTCGTTAGAAAGACAAGAAAAGACAGCTGAACTGTTATACAACATTGATCTTGCTGTATGGCAATTAATACTGGATAATTTAATCACAGATGAAGACAAGACATGGGTCAGCAGAGAAGTGGCTCTACAAAAAGATGCTGAAAACAATATATCAGGTGATCCGATAAGTTCTGTCCGAATTTTAACTTTTTGTTAAAATAAACGAAATTTAAAGAGTATTTTGTAATGTCTAATGGAGCTGAACATTATTTTTATGTTTAGATGCATTTAAACTGATCAAATTTTATTTCAGAAAACAATAAAATTAAATTTTGTTTGATTAAAACTCTGCTAACATGAAAATACCCAAGAATCATTTAAGGCACATAATGCTTTATGAGTTCAAGAAAGGAAACTCAGCAGCCGAAGCGGCTAGAAATATTCACTCAGTTTATGGAGAGGAATGTGTGAATGAAAGAACTTGCAGAAGATGGTTTGCAAAATTCAGAGGTGGAGATTTCACCCTTGACGATGAAGATCGAACCGGACGTCCAGTTGAGTTTGATGAAAAGCTTCTTGAAGCAGCCCTTGAAGAAAATCCTGCTTTATCAGTTGAGGAATTGGCAGTGGTTCTCAGTTCAAACCATACAACTGTTCATCATCATCTTCAACAACTTGGAAAAGTTCCTAAACTTGGAAAATGGGTGCCTCCTGAATTGTCTGAAAACAACCTCAAATCCCGAGTTGACATCTGCTCTTCTCTCTATTCTCGCCAACTTGTTTCACCTTTTTTGGATAGACTTGTGGCTGGCGACGAAAAATGGATCTTTTATCGAAGTGTTAAGCGTCGTAGAGAGTGGTTTGGTAAAGGGGAAGGACCCCAGCCACAGCCGAGAAGGGAACTTCTTCAATCTGGTGGGATCGCCAAGGAATAATCCACTTTGAGTTTTTACCACCTAATGCAACAATTAATGCTCAAATATACTGTCAGCAATTAGAGCGTTTGAACCAAGCTTTGAGGAAAAAAAAACCTGCTCTAGAATCAAGTCACAAAAGATTGATGAACTTGGTTGGGAGAAAATTCCTCATCCATCTTATTCTCCCGATCTTGCTCCTTCAGACTACCATTTGTTTCATAGCTTACAGAATCATTTGGAAGAAACAGCTTTTGTAACACAGGAAGAGGTTAAAACTGACATTTGTGAGTTCTTCGAATCAAAGCCAAAAGAATTTTACAGTAATGGAATTAGTAAGCTTGTTAATAGATGGAAGGAAGTCATAGATAATCAGGGAAATACATTGTTGATTGAATCTGTAATTAAATGTAACATTTGGTCACTTTTTTTTCTTTATTAAACATTCGGACAGAACTTATGGGATGATCTGATATATAAGTAACGTAGAAATCCAATAAAAATGGCAACAAAAAACTTATACTTAATGTCAGAAAGTGACAGTTAAGATTTCAGAAATATAATGAAGAAAGAGGGCTTGGAAAATTTGACACTCACATGAGATATTGAAGGCAAGGGGGACAGATGGAAATCTAAAGAGTTTCTGTAAATGGATGGGAAACAGGAATTGAGAAGGAGAGTATGGAGACAAACATTAGTGATACGAACGAGAGGAAATCGTCGAGAGCCACTTTCTGAGGAGACACTGTGTATAAAAGAAGTTTTAATCTATAATAATGTGCATGTAAAAATAAAAATAATGTGAGCGAAAATATATTCCAAGAACGTCTAAAAGAGACCTAAATTGGTAAATATTGTTGATCATAAAACCTTCATCTGTTTCCAACAAAGTCACCGTTTTTTGTTTTTTTTTAGAATTTCTGGGATCAGGTGTTATCATTATTTACATCAGGTATATCTAAAGTCCGGCCCGATGGAGGGGGGGGGGCAATTACCGTCCGCGGTCAAATGCTATCATATAGAAAGGAGGCCATATGAAATTTGCATTTAGTTATAATGGTTCAAAAAATCGAAGCTTCCGTCTATATTTCTGAGATGAGGTATTATTTACACCGTTAAGTCTGTTGCCCTCACCTTTTTTGCTATATTCATGACATTTTGGCCGTTGTACGCTCAGGCCTTCTTCAAGGCTATATGGTCCAGTGGATAAAAACGCTGGTTGGATCCAGTGACTTGTACCGAAGTGTTGTGAGTTCAATACCTGGCTACTGCAGTGGAAAACAAAAACTTGGAGAGGTAGGTTAAAGGGAAATATCTGAAGCATATCACCTGATGAAGGCCGGAGCGTACAACGGTTGAAACGTCGTGAATATGGCAATAAAGATGGAGACAATAGCCTGAACAGTGTAAATAGTGTAAATAGTTACGATACCTCATCTGTGAAATAAAGACAGACGTTGAAGATGAATATGGCAACAACTACGTGGACAATAGTTCGAACAATGTAAATAGTGTCAATAATTACAATACCTCATCTTAGAAATACAGAAGGAACCTGATGAATGCCGGAGCGCACAACGGCCGAAACGTCGTGAATATGTCAATAAAGATGAGGACAACGGTTCAAACAAAGTCAATAGTGTAAATAGTTACAATAGCTCATCTCAGAAATAGAGACAGATGTTGAAGGTGAATATGGCAACAAAGATGAGGACAACAGTCCTAATAGTTTAAATAGTTAAAATACCTCATCTCAGAAATATAGACATATCCTGATGAAGGCCGGAGCGCACAACGGCCGAAACCTCGTGAATATGACAATAAAGATGAGGAAAAAAGTTCTAACAATGTAAATAACGTGTTTGACTGCTGTTATTGCTCATATTTTGAATACTGCGATTGAAGACATTCTGTTATTTGTCTTTCTTTCTTTATTAACGGGCAGAACCCTGCCACAAAAATCTCCTGAGCCGACCAAGCATAGAAATGAATACAATATGGGAACCAGTGATAAGGAGTGTCAGAGAAAAGCACTAATAAGCAATATGAGCACTGGTAAAAAAAATGAAGATGAAGACATTAAGTTTAATAGTCCCAGAATTCAATAACAGATGTCCTCAAGGACACATGGTACAGTGGATAAAGGCGCTGGTTAGATCCAGCGACAGGACCTAAAGATTTGTGAGTTCAATACCTGGTTAAGACAGTGAATACGGCAATAAATATGTGGTGAACTTGGAGAGGGGAATTAACAGTAGATAACTGACATCCATTAGACGTGGAACTAGAATAGTCTACCCCAGTGAACGAAATAAAGGGCTCAGTTCGACATTCCAACTACCTGAAGAAGACCAGAGCGTACAACGGCTGAAACGTTGAGATAAATATGGCAACAAAGATGAGTATGATAGTCCGAACAATGTAAATAGTGGACTTTTATTATATTGAAATGTCTTTTAGACCACCAAAACATCGACATTATTTTCCGAACGAACCTAATATCTTGTTCGCTATAATCTCCATCCAGGTCGAAATAACCTCATCAGCTAAAGAACTTAAACTACGTCATCGTTAAATGATACCTCCCCACCCTTCTCCTAAGCTCTTTCTTCCTACTTTTTCCTTTCCATTCTTTATTTATTTCTAGTGCTTCCTCTTCCTGTGGTTTCATTGTCTGGCTCTGAACGCTCTTGCGCTCAGAATAAATTCCTTTTTTCATCAAACAACACTGGAGCCATCTTGTAAGTGCAGAAAGCCACACTAGCGTCCCCTGGCGGGCAAATGATACATATTAAGTCAATGTGCTGCAATGAATAGACAGAGAGACAGACAGAAGAAAAGACCGAACCGGTAGAGAGACCGACAGACGCTTGACAATAAGGGAGACAAAAAAAAGTAACTCCGCTCTGTTAATTTTAAAAACCTGAGGTTATAATGTTAACATATTTTTTGAATGTTTGACTTTTTGGTTCTTTTCTTGCACTATTCTTCTTTACAAAATGCATTGCTTCCTCTTTTGTCCGTTCCTTCCTTCCTTTCTTCCTTCCTTCCTTCCTTTCTTCCTTTCTTCTTCTATATATGTTTTTCTTTCGTATAATTTTCAAATTCTTTTCTTTCGTTATTTTCGCATTTCCCCTCTCTTGTTTTTGTCTTTGTTTTTCAGTCTTTCATTTTCATTTTTCTTTCTTTGTATTTCCTTTTTCGTTCTTCCGTGCTTTCATCCATTTAGGATTTGATTTTTGTTTGTTTTTTTTTTCAGATTTTTCATTCGGATTTTATTTTCATTCTTTCATTTAAATTTTCCATTAATTTAATTTTCTTTCTTTCCTTTTGTTTTCATTTAGTTTCCTTTTGCTGTCTTCATTTTTTCTTTATTTCTTTGTTTTTATTCTCCTCATTTTTCTTTCATTCATGCTTTCTTTCTTTCCCCTTATTTTACAGTTATTCCTAAAAACTAGAATTAATTAATTAATTCTTTCTTTTTTTCTTTCTTTCTTTGTCCCCTTTGTTTTTATTTTCTTTCTTTTTGCTGTCTTCATTTTTTTTCATTTCTTTCCTTTTATTGTCGCCATTTTTTTTCTTTCATTCATTCTTTTTTTCTTACTTTTCTTTATTTTTCAGTTCTTTCTAAAGACTAGAACTAATTCTTTCTTTATTATTTAATAATCTTAGATGATGACGGCATCAAACCAAAGGAAGGAAATGGGAAATAGTAAGATTATAATGCGCCAATTATCTAATTGCTAAAGGTTGCAGTCAATTGAGAAAATATGCAACCAGAAAGTAATAAATATGCAACAAGAAAGTAAATAAATTTTAAAAGATAATCTTGTCTTTACACCAGGTTCAATGGCAGCCTGTGCTTAAACAAACACCATTTATACAAACATATTCGGTTAAAATATTTGATGACTTCAGCATTTGGCGATGTCTTCAAATATTTCTATTTAAAAGGACGACCTCTGAAAATTATACGGTTTTTCTTATGGGATTTTCCCATGAATCAATTGTTAATTTAATGTCTGAATAAGTTCCTTGCCAGTTTCTATGAGCCGTGGAAACATTCTCATTTCCATCGTTAAAGAAAATCTTAAACAAAATATTGCAATAACAATCATATTTATGAATGTAGGGCATTAGTTAAAGAAGGAAGGGGGTACAAATAAAAAGATACAAAATTAACATTTCACTGAAACAAGAGGCTTCACTATAATCCCTTTCTTTATTTCTTTGTTTTTTTCTTTCTTTTTTTCTTTCTTTCTTTTGTTTGTTAGTTCGTTTGTTTGTTTGTTTCTTTGTTTGTTTGTTTGTTTCTTTCTTTCTTTCTTTCTTTCTTTCTAATTCATCTTTATATAATTCCTTTCTTTCTTTCTTTTGTTAGTTAATTTGTTTTTTTCTTCCTTTCTTTTGTTTGTTTGTTTCTTTCTTTCTTTATTTATTTTCCAACTTAATCTTTTTTCTTTCTGTTTCTTTTTTACCATATTTAATTTTTCTTTCTTTTTCATAGTTTACTTTGTTATTTTTTCCGTATTCCCCTCACTCATTCTTTCATTCGCCTCTCTCTCATTTTCTTTCTTTCTTTCTTTCTTTCTTTCTTTCTTTCTTTCTTTCTTTCTTTCTTTGTAGCTTCCTTCTTTATTTTCTTATCGCCACCCTCTTTCATTTTCTTTCTTTCTTTTTTCTTTCTTTCTTTCTTTCTTTCTTTCTTTCTTTCTTTTTTTTTTTTTTCCGTATTTCCTTGTTCCTTTCTTTCTTTAAACTTAATCTTTTTTCTTTCTGTCTTTTTCTGTTCCATATTTCACTCTTTCTTTTTTCTTTCTTTCTTTCTTTCCTTTTTATGCGTAATCTTTTTTCGTTCTGTTATTTTCTTTACCGTATTTCCCTCTTTCCACCTTTTTTATAA